TCTTTTGTTTTTTTTTTTTTTTTTTTTTTTCTTTCTTTCCGCTCCCTTATTCAATTTCCCCCTCCTCTCCCTTTTTTTTTTTTCTTGTTCCCCCTTCCCCCCCTTTTTTTTTTCCCCCTTCCTTTTTTTTCTTTTTTTTTTCCCCCCCCTTTTCTCCCCCCTCCTTTTAGTTTTCCTTTTTTATGTCTGTTTTATTTTCCTTCCTCCCCCCCTACCCCCCCCTTTCCCTTTTTTTTTTGCATTTTCCTTTTTTTCTTTTTTTTTTTTTTATTTTTTTTTTTCTATTTTTTTGTTTTCCCTCCCTTTCCTTTCCCCCCTTTTTTTCTTTTTCCCTTTTTTTTCCTTCTTTTTTTTTTCCCCTTTTATTTCCTTTTTCCCCCTCCCCCCCCTCTTTTTCCCCCCCCCCCTCCTTTTTTGTTCCGTTCCTTTTTTCCCTTTCCACCCCCCTCTCGTCTCTCTCTGTCTCTCGCGCTCAGCTTGCTCGTCTCCTATCTCTACTCAACTCCGCTCTCTCTCTCTCCTCTCTTCTCTCTCCCTTTCTCTCTGAATCACCTCTCACTCTCTCTAATTCTCTCTCTCTCTCCCCCTCGCTTTTCCTTCTTTTCTCCCCTCTCTCTCTCACTCACATCTCTTTTCCACTGTTCTCTCCTCTCTCACTCTCTCTCACTCCCCGCCCTCATACCTCACCCATCTCTCTCTCGATCAATATGATAATATATAATCGCTCTCCTCTCTCTCTCTCTCTCTCTCCTCTCTCTCCTCTCTCTCCCTCCTCCCCACTCTCCGTCTCCTCATCGCCCTCCTCCACTCACCTCTCACACTCTCTACCACTCTCTCCACACTCTCACTCACTCGGTCTCCGCTTTCTCTCACCTCTCTGTCTCTTTCTCTCTTCATCATCCACTCTCCTCTCTCCTCGCTCACCTCTCACTCCACTCTCTACTCCTCGGCTTTACTCTCGCTATTTTCACCTTCTTCCCCCCTTCTTTCTCTCTCTCTCTCACTCTCCCTCTCTCTCCCTCCTCTCTCTCTCCTCTTTCTCTCTCTCACAATCCTCACTCTTCCCTCGCTTACCCTTCCCCTCTCTCTCGATCTCACATCTCTCTCAGCGACTTGTCCTCTTCTCCTTCACGCCCTCACTCCTCACTACTCTCCTCTCACTCTCTTCTCTCTCTCGTCGCTCTCTCTCTCTCCTTCTCCCACTTCTCATCCTCTCCTCTGTCTCTCTCTCTCTCACTCTCTCTCAGTCGCTTTCTCTCTCACTCTCTCTCTCTTCTCTCGTCCTTTCCCCTTCTCATCTCTCCTCATCTCTCTCTTCTGCCTCTCTCTCTCTCTCCTGCGGACTCTCTCTCTCGCCTCTTCAATCTCTTTCTCTCTCTCTCTGTCTCTATCTTCTCTCTCTCACCTCATCTCTCTCTCCTCTCTCTCTCTCGCTTACTCTCCTCTCACCTCTCTCTCAACTCCTCTCTCTCCTCTCTCTCTCTCTCGCCTCTCTCTCTCTCCCCTCGCTCGCCCCTCTCCCCCCCCGGCTCTCTCTCCTCTCACCCCTCCCTTCCACCTTCGCTTTTTCTCCCTCTCTCTCCCTCGATTCTCCCTCTCCTCTCACATCTCATTTCTCTTCGCTCTCTCATTCTCTCTCTCTCCCTCTGTGTCTCTCTCTCTGTCTCTGCTCTCTCCCCTCTCCGTCTCTTCTCTCATCTCTCCCTCTCTCTCTCCGGTCTCTCACTCTCTCTACTCTCTTCACCAAATCACACTCTTCTCTCATCTCTCTTCTCATTCTTTTTCTTCTCTCTCTATCTCTCTAATCTATCTATTCTCTCGCTTTCTCCTCTCTCTCTCATCTCCACTCACTCGTCATACCCTCTCTCTCTCTCTCTCTCTCCGTCTTTCTTTTCTCCCTCCCCTCTCTTCCTCTCTCCATTCTCACCTCTCTCTCTTTCTCTCCTCTTCTTTCCTTTTCTTCTCTTCTTTCTCTTCTCTTTCTCTCTTCTTCTTCTTCCTCTCCTTTCTCTCCTCTCTTTCTCTCTTTCTCTCTCTTCTCTCTCTCTCTCTCTCTCTTTCTCTCTCTCTTTCCTTCCCTCCTCCCTCCTCCATTCCTTCCATCACCCATCCAGCCACCCCAGTCTCTTCCTCTCTTCTACCTCATTCCCTACTAAGAGCTTTCCCTTCCACCTTCCATTCCTCCCCTCCCTCTGTCCCTATCCCTCCATCCATCCAACCCATCCATCCATAACCCTTCTTCCTTCCTTTCCCTCCCCCTCCTTTTTTCCCTCTCCATTCCCTTCCTCTTCCCTCCATCCTTTCCCTCCCTTCTTTCTTCTTCCTTTCCCGTCCCACCCATCCTTCCTCCCTCCCTCACCCCGCCCCTTATCCCCTCCCTCCCTTTCATAGACGGTTACCTGAAGTGCGTTAAAGAATTCCATCCTCCCTTCGATCCATATCCGTTCCTCCTTCCCTTCCCTTTCCTTCTTCCTTCCGCCCCTCCATACACTCATTCTCC